CTGAGCCTACATAATTTCCACCCCAACCCCCAACCCTATACCAGTTATAATTAACCCCTAATTGATGTCCCTAACCCTGAGGACAAACTTTGTTGGGAGAGGAGACATCATCTTCTAGAATTACTTCCAGTTGTCATGGGGGCAATGTTCTTTCTATGAGATCCTGTAAAACTAAAATGATGGTTAAATTTCAAGATTATTGTCTGCTATAATTGCAAATTGTCTCTGAGTAGCCTGAGTTTTTCTGAAGTTCTTATTTGAAGTACTGGCCAGAGCGTTGTAAGAAGGTGCACCATTTCCAGCTAACCAAGTTGGAATAATTTTGAGCAGCTGGTACCCAAAACCGATCTTAAAGTAGCGCTATCAACATCATGATGTCATATCAACCAGGTGGAATCATTGTTGTGGAGCCCCTTCTTCTTCCTGGAAACTTAAAAGATTACTGCAGTAAAATTTATTGATCATTGTGGGAAACTTAAACATTATTCATATAGACATATATTCAATGAAAGGTACTGTAGAGACAACAAAAAAGGTATCGCGAGAAGTACAATTTTTCCTAAATTCTTTCTTCTTTCTGTCCCATACCAGATGGCTCCTGATAGGAGACATAAGCACTGAATTTTTCTAGTAACAACATACTTAGATTTAGAGAAGAATAGCCATTGTCCAACTCCAAAGCCAGCTTTGATTTTTAAGTAGAGATATACACATGTTCAGGTAATGAAATTTGTACCCTGCAGATGACCTGTCCTCATAAGTCAGATTTCTCTTTGCTTGGTGATTCTTTCTGGATCTTTTTTCCTTTAGGCATCTAGATACCACGGTTTCTCGATATTTTGAAGATGGGTATTTTCCTGCAAAGACAAGAACAGAACCCTGCCCAACCCTTATGAGGTTTCCTTACCATCTGTATGATTGTCATCTCTGTGGATGAGCTGTCATTTCTGTCTCCAGAGGTTCCTCCTTTTCAAACTTAATCTTTATTAATTTTGATGGTATCCGGGGCAATCCACAAACTACCCCAGATGTGGTAAACTCAGCTGTGTAGACTCTATTTGTTTTAACAGTAACAATAAAGTATGCTTTTAGAGGCCAAAGAACTAAGAACTTTGTAAGGAAAATGAAAATCCACCACACAGTGGTAGTTCAAGCATCTGAGTTTTGATAAAATTAATGTTAAAATCCTATTTAATAGCAAAGCTCTGTAATTTCAAGATTGCAATTGGTTCATTTTGTCAACATACACTCCTGTTCATGTGCTTCTTATTTGGACTACTAACAGCTACAGCATGCTATCAACTTCTTATTTGATATGATACACAAAAAGAGGAAAAAAAGCAACACGCAGCCTTTTAATAAGTTGAGTTTTAAAATTTAAACCGAGAGAGAGAGAACCTTCATCTGGCGACGGATGGAGATAGAGACAGAGACCCTCATCGGAGCACTGGGCTGAGCTCCCAAGGTCCAGTTGAAGAGCGGAAGGATGGAGAATATGAGCAAGGAAGTCAGGAACATGAGGGGTTGGTCCACCCCTTGAGACACTGTGCCTGAAGTAAATGGAAGCTCACCAAATCTAGCTGGACTGGGACTGAATGAGCATGGGATCAGATTGGACCCCCTGAATGTGACTGACAATTGGGACAGACTGAGAAGCCAATGTTAATGGCACCGGGATTTGTCTGTACTGCATGTACTGACTTTTTGGAATCCTATTCTCTTTGGATGCAAACTTTCCTAAGTCTGGATGAAGGGGGGAGAGCCTTGGACTTCCCACAGGGCAGGTTACCCTTACCTCTCTCAGGACAGGGTGGGAGGAGGGTGAGTGGGGGAGCAGGAGGGAAATGGGAGGAGGAGAGGAAGTGGAAATTTTGATTGGTATTATTTATAAAGTAATAAAAATAATAAAACAGCCATATCAAACAGAAAAAAAAATAAAATTTAAACTGATTATAAAAGAAAATGGCCATAATCTCTATCTAACCTTCAAATTGCCAAACTTAGTGAGTTGAGTTTAAATATCATTCAGTGGCATTCAACAAGGGAGACAGAAAAGCTGTTTCGTTTTACTCACCCTTTCATCCATTTGGTCACATCTGAAGTTCAAAGGAACTGGCTGTGTGTGTGTGTGTGTGTGTGTGTGTGTGTGTGTGTGTGTGTGTTGCTGTGTGGTTAGCGGACATATTGAAGTCCTGAGTTTAATTTCCAGCCCCCAACAACCAAAGCTAATCAGCAGCCTTGCTGTCTGCTTGCCAATGCTAAGGAAGCAGGGTTATTACTCCCAGCCTACTCAGGAGCTCCCCGTGGAAGTCTCCACTCTTACACATTTGTATTTGTATAAGAAAAGCTATGCACACAATGTAATGCATGCCTAACACATGGGGATAGTCAACTCTAAATCTTACGTGTTATTTTAATCTTACACATTTTATACCCCTGAGTATTTGACACCTGGTGAGTGTGCATGGCATATTTGCACAGGGAATAAAACATTAGATCCGTGAGTTGTAGGTCAGGCAGAGGAGGATGGGGATCAAGTTCGTCTAGATTTCGTATAAAAGACACAACAGGAATTTCGGTTTAGCCGAAGTATACAGTGTTCTGAATGGGTAGGGATGAGGTTGGGCACGTGAGCCCACGTTACCCAGGCTTTTACTTGCAGTGCAGTGGGTTGGCACCTCAGATAGTGGGGGCAAGAGGGGAGTGGGGAAACATTAGCAACTGTGGTGGGCTGTAATGATATTTTGGTTTGTTTGTTCATTTGTTTGTTTTGATTTTTTTGAGAGACAGGGTTTCTCTCTGTAGTTTTGGAGCCTGTCCTAGAACTCACTCTGTAGATCAGGCTGGCCTTGAACACACAGTGATCTGCTAGCCTCTTCCTCCCAGAGTGCTGGGATTAAGGTGTGCGCCACCACTGCCCAGCCTGATATTTTGTTTCTAATCTAACAAATAAAGCTTACATGAAGATCAGAGTGCAGAGATAAGCCACTAGTTAGCCACAGAGGCCAGGCTATGGTGGCACACACTTTTAATCCCAGCAATCAGTAGACAGACAGACGGATTTCTGTGAATTCAATGCCACCCTGGGCTACACAAGATTGAATCTGTCTAAAAGAGAAACAGTTCACACAAAGGTGATCCCAGAATTTAGGATTACATCCTTTTAATCCCAGCACTAGGGGGGCAGAGACAGGAGTGATATGGCTGGGCAGAGAGAGAGAGGAATATAAGGTAGGAGGAGACAGGAGCTGAGATGCAGTCTGAGGATTCAGTCTGAGCATGCAGTCTGAGGTTTTGTAAAGACAGCATTCAGTCTGAGGATTTGTAGAGACAGGATTGCCCCTTCGGTCTGAGCATCGGAAGAGGTATAAACTCTTTAGTGGCTGGCTGCTTCTCTGACCCTTCAGCTTTCACCTCCTGATAGCTGACTCTGAGTTTTTATTATTAAGACCAATTAGAAATCACACAACATTAGGATTGCCTTCCATCTGAGTGATTAGGGATTGCATTACAGTGGGCCTTTAAGTTGGGATGCAGTGCAGTGGGGGGACTCTATTATATTTTAGAATCATAGGTGTGGCATCTTCTGTGAAACAGACAAGGAAAAGGAGGTGTTGGGAGCCTTCCCAGCTGAAAGCATACGAGTTTGGAGGCGAATCGGCTAGTTCAGGGGCTCTGTGGTAATTGTGCAGAGAGGAAGGGGGTCTGAACATCAAGCAGAGGTGAAGATTTATTTAGGACAGAATGAGCAGCAGGGGTCTTGACAGAATACAGTAAAATTAACATCCCCCCCCCAAACCAGATAATCAAGCAGAAAACTGTCCGGTAACTGCTGCAGCAGCGAGAACCTCCCCCAGGGAAGGAGCTGACAGGAAATCTACTAAGTGTCAGCTTTGTGATTTGTCACTCACGAAAGTGAATGTCAACTTGGAGAACTCGAAGAAAGGCCCTCTAGGCAAGGGTTGTGACCACCCTGGCCTTCTCTGGGTATGGAGCTAAGGAGGGAGGGCACATCAGCTCTTGGTGTCTGCTCTCCAAAGATTTACAGCAATTTGCTTATGTTCAGAGAAGACCCTTAATTTGTGCCTTTGAGCAACAGAGCCTGGAATAGTGGGCCAGGAGAGCAGTCTTCAAATTGTTAGATCACCGTGGAGAAGGACAGGCAAGGCCGCCATTGTTTATCCTTAAGCCCGAAGGCCAGAGACCCAACTGGCCATCACAGAGCCACAGACCGAGTCTTGGTGACTGGTCCTTGAAAAGTTTCCCAGCTTATAAGGGCTGAACTCCTGTACTAGGACAGTGGGCAACAAGAGGAAGACAAACACAACCAGCGCGTGTTCTTTCAGGTCCTTGCTGACTTGGATGGGGACGATCTGGTCAAGTGAGTGGCTGGTTCTCAGTTATGATGGTGGGTAACACTCTCTCCAGGCTGCTGTCCCCTCCCTCCTTCCCTCCTTCCCTCCTTCCCTCCCTCCCTCCCTCCCTCCCTCCCTCCCTCCCTCCCTCCCTCCCCCCCCTCTCTAATTGTGTGTATGTGTGCAAGTGTGTGGAGGCCAGAGGTCAGTGTTGGGTGTCTTCCTCATTGCTTTGTACCTTATTTTGTGAGCCAAGGTCTCTGGCTGAACCTGAAAGTCACCAATTGGCTACATTGGCTGGCCAGCAAGGTCCAGGAAGCCACCTATCTCCACCTCCTGCCCTATGCCTATTTCCCTGGCGAAGGGCTCACGGGTTCACCTTGCCACATCCCAGCTTTTACAACTGTGCCAGGGATCTGAGGTGGTGGTGGTTACAGTCTCTAAATCCCGTCATGGAGGGAGGTGAGTAAACCTGGACTAAACCTTGGGCTGGTCAGACCCTCGCAAAGGTATTAACTTTGGTCCCAGCTTTGCTGCCCCGGAGGGGCGGGGTTACTAGAATGTTTGCTTAGGAGAAGGCGATTGGCCCTGGGGAAATCCAAGGGGCGGATCTAGTCGGTGGTTGCTATTGGTTCTGCCGGCAAGTTGAGGGATGGCAGCGAAGGGGGCGGAGCTCATGAGGAGAGGTTCAGCACAAGAGCCCACCGAGGGGAGCGAGCTTGCAGGCTTGTGAGCCCGCACCCCGGCAGTCCCCCGCCAGGATCCAGGAAGCATCCACCAGGAAGCTCCCGGGGCTTGCAGCGGGGCGTTGGCACGGGCACGCGCACTTGCTTTGCCGGCTCGGATGCGGCGAGGACGCCTCGGTGTCGCGACCTGAGCCATTCAACAGCTGGCCTCGCCCGCAGCAGTCCCAGAGAGCGACCGGGAGCGTTGATGGTTGACACTGCGGCAGCTGGAGGGAGGCGGCGACAGGAGCTGTGGCGGTTCCGCTATCCCAGCGGAGCCGAGCGCGGAGGTAGAGCGGCTGCCCAGGCGCCTGGTAAATGCCCCCAGTTCTGGTTACCGACTAGGCGGCCGCGTCCTTCTGCGTCCTGGTTGGCCGGCCGCCCTGGCCTACAAGAGTCGTGGGTGCCTGGCGGGCTGGCTCCGCGCGGGACTCTGAATGAGCACTGGGGAGGGGCTTCTGAGAGGACCGGGTAGCCAGGCCAGCGCTAGCTGGAGTCTGGTTTTCTAGGGACACCCCTAGGCTTTCCCCCTTGGATCCGTCAAGCTGCTCTCTTGGGGCTCGGTGTCGCACTAGGGGGCGCTGTGGCCGTTGCTGCAGCCGAGGTCACTGGAAGCTTTCCCATAGGGTGCACTAGATTGCTTAAGGAAAGCCAAAGGATGTCCTCCCTGATGGACATCTGAGCCAAGGGCTCCGGTTCTCAACCTGTTCCCCTGATATTCATCATCTAGTTAACCACTAGCAAGGGCCCGTCGCCTCTGCCCTCTGTTGACGACTAGGACCTTGACTTCGGGGACTTGAATCTAAGCTTGAGGTTCCTAGTGTGGGTGGAATTAAACTACTTCTAATTTGATCAAGAAAGCGGGGTCACCCTCAAAAGCCTTTGGAGTGCAGTCTTGAGCTTGGGTCGAAGGGCAGGAGGGTCAGGGGACACTCATGCTGTGGGTACTGGTATTCCTGAGTGTGTTGGTCACTGGGACTGGTGCCTTCTTTACGTTTATCAGCTGCTTGTTGAGATTTTAGTTGAAGCCAATTACTCCCTGAGTACTTTTTGAATGCCACTAACTCTAAGGGGTGACTTGTGTTGATTGGAACCCTGGAATCCAGCATGGGGACCACCGGGGCCTTATTATTTGCCACAGGGTCTCAAAGATGGTACCCATTTTGCCCGGGGGTTCCTCCTGCCTCAGCCCTGAGTTTGAAACCTCATACTGTTGAAAGAATGTAAGGCTGTGCAGTATAATTGGTAGGGATGACTTTTTCATTTGTGAAAATGTAGTTGTGCTCTCTCAGATTCGGTTCTTTTAAAAGAAGAAATTTTAAGCATATGAGATGCTAGTAGCCACATTTTTCTGTGCTCTATTTTTTGGATTCCTGCGTGTGGAATGTATCCCCTCAAAAGGATGGAGTAACTTGAAGCATCGGGTAACTCACATGAAAGTATTTCTTACTTCAGCTCTTGTGCAGCGCACAGAACAGTGGAGTAAGCCTCCAGGCACCGGTGCCCAGGGAATGCCAGCTGCTACCCGCATGAGAGGATGCATGGGACTGACTTGACGGGGAATCATAAGGTAGAGGATAGGGCATGCAGAGACCCTCTTCTGCAGTAGGTGGACCCCAGGATCACACCTGGAGTGTGCCCCTTTTGTCTAGTGTTTGCGATCACACATTCAGGTAAAGTGTAGCCTTTTACTGGCTTCGTGTGTCATCTCCAGCATTAGAAAAATGGCGAGGCTTGGAGCTTAGGGAATGTGGATTTGAAGATCAGGCAATACAAAATGGTGGTGTTTGGGAGAGAGAGAGAGAGAGAGAGAGAGAGAGAGAGAGAGAGAGAGATTGATTTAGCACTGTGCTGCTAAGACTAGCTATGCATTTGTTTCCCCAGTAAGTGCCCCTGCTTTTGCCAGAAAAAGGAACTTTTGTTTTTCAGGATGGAAAAACAATCTTACTTTAAGTATAATTATAGAATTCTTTAAAATAAACAACATCTTTGTTAATCCTTTGGGAATTTCATACGTACACGCAAAGTGTTTTAATCTTATTTACTCCTGTTCTTCCCCTAATTCTTCTCAGATCTTCCCAATATCAAGTCCTTTAAACAAACACCCCATATAGTGTTGCCTGTATATTCATGGTGGGGATCATCCACTGGAGCAGGGTAGGCCCGTAAAGAAAACGACACTTCTTCCCCCCCCCCCCGAAGCCATGAACTGTCAGCAGCTGAGAGAAGAGTCTTTGCTGACTTTTTTCCGAGGTAGTAGTCTAAGAATTCTGATTCACTGTCCATTCAGGTCGACAGAGGTTTTTTGTTGTGGCTTCCAGCATACTCATGGCCTTTCAAGAAGCTTTGAAGCTCACTTGCAGATGGAGGCAGCCTAATACCTGGGCCCCAGTGGGAGCCATCATGGACTGCATGGAATCCAGGGGCTTATTTTTCAGAAGAGGCGGTGTAAGAACTGGGGCATATAAAGAAGGAAAGCCAGTGACTTATTGAGTAGCTCTAATAGGAATAAGGCTCATATTGATCGAGTGCTTGGGGTTAAGTACTTGATTTGCATCATTTCATGTGATTCTTCAAAACTCATATATACGCATGCGTGTGTGTACGTATATGTGTGTGTATATGAGGAAAGAGTGGGCATGGCGGCTCAGGCCTATTATTCTAGCACTCAGAAGGTGGAAACAGAAGAATTAAGGTTATCCTTGGCTAGATAGAGAGTTGGAGGCTACCCTGAGGCACATGACAGCCTGCCTTATACACATGTAAAAGATAAAAAGAAGGAAAACCTTTGTAAGGTAAGCGCTAGTCACTATTAGGGGTTTGAGTAACTTGAATCCAAAACTCGGAAATTTCAAACGTTCCAAAATCTGTAACTTTTTGCATATTGTCATGATGCCACAAGTGGAAAAGTCCACGTATGCCGTCGTATGATAGGGCGGCTGTAAAACAAAGCTGCAGGAAATAAAATGACCTGGAGGCTACACAGCAAACCTGCACGGTAAGCATAAATGAGCTCTGTGTGTCCACCCTCAAGATGTCTCCTTATATATAGATCCTTGCGATCGCCACCATTCTGGATAAGGGATACTCCACAGGGATCTTCTACAGTTCACAGAATTTAGGCAACAAACCCACGAAAACCGCCTAGCTATTTGGCGCCAGAGGTGGCGTTTAAACCCAGGACTACTTGCTCTTGAAGGTAGTTTTGGCTGGTTTTTTTTTTTTTTTCTGTCATAGTTTTGTGAAGAGGACTTTGAAGGCTGGGGAAAATTTGTATTGGGAGGGGATAACTGGTGAGAGGCTCTGCATCTTTTAAAGACCTCCAGGAAGACTGGCTCATCTAAAATGGGCCAGTGCACCTAGGGGTAGGATGCAGGCTAGGGGTGCTGAGGTAGGGAGGGCCTTGTTTTGAGTGTCTTGAGGGGAATTTGCGATTTGATACAGTAATAAATCGAAGATGCTGAGAAATTCTTTATCTTGTGTGTGAGCATGTGTGCACGTCACAGAAAAAGTGTGGAGCTCAGAAGACAGCCTCAGTTACCCTCCCTTACCTCTGCTTTGTTTGAGAGTTTTTGTTGTTGTTGTTGTTGTTGTTCAGACCTGGGCATGGCAGGCTAGGTATCCTGGGAGCTTCCAGGGATTGGCTCACTACAGGGCCACTGGCACTACCGACATGTCGGCCACGCCTATCTTTAGTAGGTTCTGGAGATCTGAACACAGGCCCTCCACTCTTGCACGGTGAATGTTTTGCCCACTCACTGAGCCATCTCTCCTCAGCCTGGCATGTTGAGATTGTTTGAACAAGGAAGACTGTGACAAAAGTAGTGCCAGTTATCTGGTGTGACCTACCTGGGTCCCTGAACCTATTTCTCTCTCCTTTTTTTTTTTTTAAAAAAATTATTTATTTATTTATTTATTTATTTATTTATTTATTATGTATACAGTATTCTGTCTGTGTGCATGCCTGCAGACCAGAAGAGGGCACCAGACCTCATTACAGTTGGTTGTTAGCCACCATGTGGTTGCTGGGAATTGAACTCAGGACCTTTGGAAGAGCAGGCAATGCTCTTAACCTCTGAGCCATCTCTCCAGCCCCCCCCCCTTTTTTTTGAGAGTCTTGTTCAGGTGTGAGTATACTTAATGTCTTTGTTATTCCTAAATTCTTAGGGAGTACAAATGTATACAGTTGAGCAGATTTTTGCCTTAATGTGTAGGCTCTAATCTATACTACTTGATTTTTGTTTTGTTTTATTTTTGATACAGGGCATTAACTTGTAGTCCAGGCTGGACTTGAACTCACGGATATCCACCTGCCTCTGCTTTCTAAGTGCTGGGATTAAGGGTGCAAGTGAGCCACCATGCCCAATAGCCTATACTGCTTGAAAAAGCAATTAAATCTGGGGACGGCCCACATTGAAAAGCTGCAGATCTCAGTAGAAATCAAGATCTTTAGCTTATCTTGAAATTCTAGAAGGTCTGGGTTGTTTCACCCAGAAAAGTCAGAGCTTTCCAGATTGGACTCCTGTAGCTGGGGGGAGCTGAGTGATGGCCTGTCCTGTCTCTGCATTTCATTCCTGGTAGCCCTCTAGTCCCTGGACTTCTGCCCAAGGGAAAGAAGCCCCACCTAGAAAGATTCCGATCGAAGATTATCTTCTTGCCTTACCAGGTAATCAGGAAATTGTCAGCCGACCTCCCACAGCACTGTCTGTGTGAAATGAACATAACCGTAGCACGCAGGGATGCTGCAGGCATCGTTGATAGGAACTGAGCATCATCCGTGGGCAGCTTCTTTTCCTCAGGCCCGGATATATTATGATACATTCCGCTGAATCTTTATTTTCTATTCTTTTCTTAGACTCCGGTTTTCTTTCTATTGCATACTGAATGACTATAGGATCTGGGTCAAAATGTTATAAAAAAAAAAAAACAGTTCAGGGTAAAAACGGAAGAAAAACAATTAAAAATAGCATGCTAGTTTGGAGGGAGGAAAGGGAAGGGGGAATTATTACCTCAAAAATCAAGAAGTGTTTGAAAGAATAGCATGCTAAAGTTATTCATCTCGATCTCTGAAAGATTTAAATCTTTTGTGTAGAAATTTGTAGGATGTATGTGTTTGTTCATGGGTGAGAGGAGTGTACATGCATGCTGCGACATGCGTGGCCGTCAAAAGGCAACCTTGGATATCAGTCCTTAACTTCTACCTTGTTTTTAAGACAGAGTCTCATGCTGTTTCCTATTGCCTTTGTCAGCCTAGCTGCTCCTTGAGCTTCTGAGGAGTCTCTTGCCTCTATCCCCCATCTCGCCAGAGCAACATCGGGGTTACAGACACATGGTACTTGCCCAGATATGCAGGAATTATGGGCATCTGAACGCACATCCTCACACTTGTGTGGTCGCTGCTAGTATACTTTACCCACTCAACTATCTTGCCAGCCCTGAAAGTACTCTGTGTTCTAGAAAGGGATAAGCCACTTTGTGTTGGCACTAGACAACATTATGCCAGTCTGCCTGGGAACTGCAGGGCATTTAGCATTAGTGGCCCCTCTGCTTACCAAATAGTGAAGATGCACCTTCCTGGGACAGTTGTTATGACAACTAAAATTGTTCTTTTTTAAAAAAAATTATTAGATTTTTAAAAAATATTTTTTAAGAGCCATGCATAGTGGTGCATCTATTACTTTTTGTTTGTTTGTTTGTTTGTTTGTTTTTTGGTTTCTCGAGACAGGGTTTTTCTGTGTAGCAGTCCTAACTGTCCTGTAACTAGCTCTTGTAGACCAGGCTGACCTCAAGCTTACAGTGATCCACCTGCATCTGCCTCCTGCGTGCGCCACCACCCCTGGCAATCTAAAATGGTTCTCATGCACAAATCATTCCTCTTGAAGGGAGCAATTGTGGCGCATTTAAAACCTACAAAGCACATTCTCGAGTCTGACGTTCATTTCTTATGAACAAATGTTAATAGTATCCTTGCTGTTCTGTGGCACGAAGTGTTCTAGTCCTCTTCTGGCATTTTGTGCATCAGATTCCAGTCATCTGTCCTAATCTCTCTCTCTTTTTAGACTCAGGTCTTTGAGAGTGAACTCAATACGACTCATCACTACAGCCCCCAATGTGTCTGAGTAGGTGATTGGTAGGTATACCTCAGTTACTCTCAGTGTCCGTTAGTGTTAACAGCTCTATTCTAAAAGGGCATGCTAGCCCGCATTACCATTGCACCCTTGGCTTTGAGATACTGGTATCCGCATTCTAAAAACAGAAGTAATACCTTTGAAAAGGAGCTGTCGGGCAAAGTTTCTGTTTAACTCAGCTTTAACCTTATTGAGTTTCTCCTCTCTTCTAATTGTCCCAGGCTCTGAGGTGATATTAGGGAAGCAGACATGTAATTCTTGCTCTCACGAAACTTACAGTTGAGAGAAGGAAGGAAAGGAGATGCAAACCCAAACACATTATGATCGGGTAGCACTGATGTTGTGAGATGCTCTTTTGGTTGTCCAGGGATAGCATCTCTGAGGAGACTAGACTTTTGAGTCAAATCCTTCTCCCGCAAAAAGGAGTCAGGCATGCACAGATCTCGGTTGGGGCAAACATGTTCCATAGAAGAGACACAATGCAAAAGCCTCAAGTGTTATAGCTAATGAGACTGTGTCCAGTAAAGACGCCAAGAGAACGAAGATGGAGAATTCAGGAGGGGACAAGGAGGTGAAATGAGTTGAAGGAAGGAGACTGAGGCCATATTTCAAAGGCGAGAAGTTGAGATTTCCTTTAAAGCCACTGGAGGGTTTCGAGCAGATGTCTGACATGATTTGGCTTAGGGTGTCTAAAGTCAGGCATGGTGGCACATACACAAGACACATTACTGTGAGCAGGGGCTTGCTGTGAGGTCAGCCTGGGTTACATTTTGAACTTTAGGCCAGTCTGGGCTACAGAGTGCATGCCTGTCTCCAAAAATATGCAGAAGTTTTGATTTTAAACCATGTCGGCTCTTATCTAGGGATGGAAGCAGAAAGTCTAGTTAGGAAGTTGCCAACATGATTCGGGTTAGGGCAACGAGGCATTAGACCTAGGAGGAAGCAGCAATGGGGAAATGGGTTTGGAACATGTGTTGGTGGTGAAGGGATTGAAGTGGAGAGGGAGGGTAACTCCCAGGTTTTCAGCCCGATCCCCTGGGTGGAGGTGCCTATACTCAGGAAAGTGCTAATTACTGGGTGGGTGGGAGCTAGTGGGAAGTGGAGGGCAGGTTTGGGGCTGGGAATTAAGAGTTCAGGTGCACTTGTTTGGCTGAGATACCAAGGAAAACTTCCACTGGAGACAATGAATAGGCAGTTGAATATGAATCTCAGGTTGGCAGAGCTTCAGCCCACATAAAATTAAATGCAAATTAAAGGTGCTTCGGGGTGCCAAAATATACTAGCCTAGGCCTCATACCTAAAATGATAATGATCCAGTGTGAGCAGGGCTGGAAAGGAATCAGGCTCAGTGATTCTGCTGATGGCCTGATTCTTTGGCTTCATGTTCCAGGAGAGCAATTTGACAATAGGTGATGTAGCTGTATACGATTATTCCTGACCTTTGTCACAGTGTATTTTGAAGAAACAATTTAAAAAAGCTTTGTACAGAGCTTTTTATGCTAAGTGTTCATTCTTATAATAATAGTCTAGAGTAGGGGCTGGAGAGATGGCTCAGAGGTTAAGAGCACTGACTGCTCTTCCAGAGGTCCTGAGTTCAATTCCCAGCAACCACATGGTGGCTTACAGCCATTTATAATGAGACCTGGCGCCCCCTTCTGGCTTACAGGCACACGTGGAAGGAATGCTATTCACATAATATAATAAATAAATAAATAT